ATTGTTTTTACATCGAACTGAATGACAATAGCCTAACCTATAAGTTGTGGATTGATGTGAACGCCAGCAGGAATAATGCTCAGAATGATTGTGAATGAAACATCTCCGATGATGTTCATTGCAATGCATTTCACTGAGTTAGAAGAAAAGGATATATTTGCGAACTGTTAGTGGTTTTATGTGTGATCACGGCATTCGAGTCCACACACGTGCAGAAGTATGCAGCTCCAGACTGACAGCTGACAACTGAGTGAATAATCTGCATTATAAAAAGAAATAAAAACCTTTAAAGATTAATTATTGTTGCAAAGTTATCTAGTCAAGTGCTTTGTTAGATGGAGCAGTTTGTTTGATCGCGATCTATCTAATTTGTTTGTCTAAAGAAGTGCCGACAGATGTATGAATGTAGGCCTACACAAGTTACACCGTAATTTAATCGCTGATTTTATTGGACAGTAAAACAAAGGCAGAATACCGTATAACTCCGTAGGGGAAAGTAGGGTGAGTTGTGCCAGTTTTTACTCAAAGTGACTTTAAAGTGAGGCCATGACAGTAATGCCTTTCACTTTAGAATGTACATATATTTCAGGATGTGGTGCATCCCTGAGAACAATAACTTTGGATCTGAAATAAATTGTTTCAGAAATATAGCTTTTGGGAAAAGTGGCACAACTTGCCCCTGGTGCGGGGTAAGTTGTGCCTTTTGGAAGAATACGTTGGGGTAAATTGTGCCAGTGATTTCTGAAGTAAAACAGAACATTTTAATGTTATGAGCTGTAATGCTATATGAAAGCAAGACAAATGTGGTCTGGATCTGGCCTATTACTTAACATCCCACTTGTCAATGCTGCAGGGGAATATAAACTTCTGCTCCCTTCTGGCTGTACCACCAAGTTTTTTGGGTGTGGGTAGTTTCTTGAGCACATCATCTTTAGGGATAACTCCTTCATCATTTTCTTTAAATGTAAAGATGGGCTTTCCATCCACAGACTTCTTACAACTTTGCCTTAGAAACTTTGTGCTGATGTCTGCACCCTCAACCTTCTCCACCAATCCAACGTAGTTATAGGATTTGGTTTTACCAGCAAAGCTCACAATGACAAAGTCACCAGCAGACAGATCCTTGTCACCATCATCATCATCATCATTCTGGACATCTGAACTCTCATAATAAGGGGTTTCGTTAAGTGGAATGGAGATGTCACTCTCTTCTAAGCTACTGTAGACAGTCACTTTCGTTTTGGGTTTGGTTGGTTTGGACACTTTCTGAGCCCCTCTCTTCTTATTTTCATTAATTTTCTGTTTTTTCTGTTTTTTATTTTCTCTGTTGTGTGTGTTCTCCAGGTCATCTTCTGCTTCATCGTCAGTGGTGTCATCAAGTGGGAGGCCCATGGTGCTTTCTTCTGAGCTACTGTGCACGACCTTTTTCTTTATGATTTTGGTTTGATTTGAGCCTTTCAGAGCCCATTTCTTCTGCCTTTCATTCTTTTTCTTTTCCTTTTCAGCCTTTTTATCTTGTTTTTCTTTGTGTGCCTTCTCCAGCTCCATCTTCTCAGGTGTGTCAGTCACGATTCTTGTTTTTACTTTCTTTCTCATCATTCTGGGCCTTCTTGCTGTGGCTTTTGGCAAGGGAAGTATGACTTTTGGAGACACATAACTCCCATGGGAACCAGAACCAGTTTCATCAATTGATGAGTGCTCAGGATTTGGTTCCGGAAGAGTGGCAGGTGGCTCCCCTTGGTCTGGACCTGCTTCAAGACCTGTGGCATGAGTTGGCTCCTCATGTGATGGTCCAGGCGGGTCAGCAGCAGCACTGGTGGAGGGCTCTTCTGGGTTTGGCCTGTCTGTTATCATTGATGGGGGATAATCTTCATCTGGGAAGATATCCCTGTTGTGTGGGTATATGCCCGTAGCTCTGAAACCTGATGTGATGTTTGTGGGGGTCATTGCAGACATAAATGCTTGCTTCACAAGTTCTGCGACCTCGTAAATCGATACGGTTCGACCAGGATGTGTTCGCATCCAACCGTCCATTGCTCTGAAGAAGTAGGTTTTCAGTGGTCCATAGACTGTTTTGTCCAATGGTTGCAATCGGTGTGAGGTGTGAGGTGGCAGGGTGAGCATAACGACACCATATTCTTTAGCAGTTGTCACTGCCTTCAGTGAGATGTGAAATTCATGGTTGTCCAGAATGTGCAGGACTGGGTGATTGATGGAGCAGTTGATGTGGCAGATGAAGTGCTCCAGGAAGATGGTGAAGGCTTCTTCATTCATCCATCCAGACTTTGTAGAATGACCTATGGACCCTGCAGGTGATCCATTCATGAAGGATTCTTTGAAACGAACACGAGGGAAAATAAACATGGGTGGGATTGCATTTCCAGTGGCATTTACTGATGTGAACGCCAGCAGGAATAATGCTCAGAATGATTGTGAACGAAACATCTCCGATGACGTTCATTGCAATGCATTTCACTGAGTTAGAAGAAAAGGATATAATTGCGAACTGTTAGTGGTTTTATGTGTGATCACGGCATTCGAGTCCACACAAGTGCAGAAGTATGCAGCTCCAGACTGACAGCTGGCACTGAGTGAATAATCTGCATTATAAAAAGAAATAAAAACCTTTAAAGATTAATTATTGTTGCAAAGTTATCTAGTCAAGTGCTTTGTTATATGGAGCAGTTTGTTAGATCGCGATCTATCTAATTTGTTTGTCTAAAAAATTGCCGACAGATGTATGAAAGTAGGCCTACACAAGTTACACCGTAATTTAATCGCTGATTTTATTGGACAGTAAAACAAAGGCAGAATACTGTGCCAGCTAACTCCGTATAGCTGGCACAGTAATATTGACAAACGACTAAACAAATGCAGAGCACCGTAACTTAATTTGAGTGATCTAAAACAAAGTCGAAGAGCGGTAACTGATGTTATACTGTGTTCTGCCTTGGGTTCTCCGGGACTTTTCTCCAAGAGACTTATACACATGATAATGGAGGTCATGAATGTCCCAAAATGATCAATAACTAATTTTCAACCAAAAACCAAGTTATGGTGTTTTGTCTTTGCACGGCAGCACTGCTGTCACTATAGATGGTTTATGGCATGGTTTCAGCATGGTTTTTGCCCATTTTCGATTATCCGGGAGTGACGCGCGGTGACGCGTTGCCAATATGGCAGCGGTCGGCTCCGCCCACTTTAGTCTCAAAAATGCTCTTCAGAAAACTACGAGTGACATCACGGACACGACGTCCATGCTTTTTACCATCTATGGTTACGCCACTAGTACGTTATTTGGTAAGTCTCTGCGACGAATATGGTACGGTCCAGTTATCCGTCACAACGTAACTGTGTTAGCTGGGTCTAAGATTAATTTTTTCTCTGCCATGGCACTTTTGTTATATTTTTGTTGTTTAAGCATCAATTTAAAAAAAAAGAAAAAAAAGAAACGTTTCTCCGCCATGCATTCGAAACAGCAATGTTAATATTGCATTTCCTTCTTTTCGGATTTCATAAGCCTGGAAATATATAGGCCAGTATAAATTAATGGAGTAATAGCATAACTTCTGACAAAAGAACCGTGATAAGAAAAAAACGAATGACATGATTCGTTTAGTGACTATATGGGGACAACTAAGTGGGGAAGTCGTGGCCTAATGGTTAGAGAGTAGGACTCGTAACCCAAAGGTTGCGGGTTCGAGTCTCGTACCTCGAGTCTCGTGCAGGGATTGTAGGTGGGGGGAGTGAATGTACAGCGCTCTCTCCCACCTTCGATACCTTCAATCGAACCCCCAACTGCTCCCCGGGCGCTGCAGCATAAATGGCTGACCACTGCTCCGGGTGTGTGTTCACGGTGTGTGTGTGTGTGTTCACTGCTGTGTGTGTGCACTTTGGATGGGTTAAATGCAGAGCACTAATTCCAAGTATGGGTCACCATACTTGGCCACATGTCACTTCACTATATCCGCTCGTGACTGCGCTGTGCACCATAACGAATCCTTGCACTCTGCCAGCTCCATGTGCTTTCATTTTCATTTTTATTTGTAATAAAGTGTCTGACCGCCACTGTTTTTGTTCGGTCAGTTACATATTTTAATTGTAACTTTTATTTTTTAACACATTTGATTTTATTTAAACCTCGATTAAGTTTAAAGTGAATCCATAATCGAGATTTAAATCTGAGTTTAAATTAATGGTGCGACAGGATTAAACTTAATCTTTAATATAACTTAAATCCAGGATCAAAATGACGGGTAAAATGTAAACCTGCTTATTTTTAAAAATAAGGTTTAAAGTTTGGTGCAACAGAATTGTAAACCTTGATTTAATCTAGATTTAAGATTAAACCTTGCAAACTATTTAGCTAACTTGAAAAAAAATAAATAAATGCACATAATGTCTGAAGTGGGCAAGCGGCAATAATGATCCTTTAAAATATAATTTGAAGAAGAAGTGTTTCTTTCACCAAATAAGCATTGTTATGTAACTATAAAATATACTCAATTGAGGGTACCTTTCTAACATGAAATTGAACTGGTATATAGAACATATTCTACCTGCCTTCTTGATATAAATTACTATACATTTTATATGGTAGGCTAATTAATACAGAGACACTAATTTGGGCAAAGAGCACTAACAAAAATACAAAAGATACAGTCATGTTAACGTGACTTAAAAATAATAGATTATACGATTATCAATAATATCTTTAATGTCTGATAATCTTGAATAACGCTATTTGCACTAATGAATATCATTATAGCCTAGACACACTTTATGTGAACATAACTTTGTAACGTACTATAACTTTGTGAAAAATAGTTTAATGTTAAAATATATGATAAATGTATTTATTCATTGATCACTGACTGACTGGCTAAAACACCGTAGGTTGAGAAGCCTCTCCATTTCTCCCCAGATACGCATGATGTGTCTTCGTTCTGTTTTCTTATTGGTTAAAACATCTACCGCTATTTTCTGTAGGTTAACTCATTTTCGCTTGCTGTGAGCTTTTGCTTTCAGCAACATAAAACTTAGTCAAATTTACACTTCAAGCCTTTCAGTCATGGGGACGAGTGTGGCGACCAAGATCTTTGCTGTGCTTTGTGTTTTTCTGCTTTATAGGACTCCACTTTTACTTCAAGCAGGTAAATCATTTAAAGTTTCTGGATTTATCAGAGAACTTAAGTGAAAGTAACGAGATTTAAAACATCTTTGTAACGGAATAAATTCAATTTGAGAATAAATGCATGCTCACATCGTGTATATATGTTAGAATTATTTTTAAATATATAATAGAATTATGTCTATAGGCTAACATTATAAACTAACCTTCCAATTAAAACGTTGCAGGTGTTTTTGCTTCTTTTTGTGTGTATGAGCTATAATAAAATGTAGAAATGAGATCAGTAAAACGCGTTATAATCATCAGATAAATCCAATGATAGCTGAAAAAAAAACTATTTAGCCAGGATTAAGAGTAGTATGAAACGAAAACAGTAATAATAAATGATTGTGGTTTTGTTCTGTCTTCCTTCTGCACGCGCCTTCCACACAAAGCCACTTTGGCCTATTTTAAAAATTAAATTCATTTTCGTTTTACTGCTGACCGACTAAAATAGAAATTCATAGCCTATTTTTAAAAAAAAAAATAGAAATGAAATGTGTTAAAGTGCTGAAGAAATGTAAAATCTGAGTACCCCGTGAAATCTAAATCTAGCTATTAATGGACAAATTCAATCTTATTTATTCCTCCATATGATGGTTCATGCGCAGAGGCGGACAAAGTACTCAACTCCATTACTTCAGTAAAAGTACAGAAGTACTTGCTTTTAAATGTGCTTAAGTACCAAAAGTAAATTTCCTTTTTTATGTCAATGCACTGTTTTATTATTGTTGTATGTAACACTTGCAATACTTCTGAAGCAACTTACAATACATTACACCTGCTGAATACACTGACTAGCTTGTAGTATCTTTGGAATAAAGAGCTTTTAGAATATTAAAAACCTATGGGGGAAAAATTAACACCGTATACCCACCCCCACAAAAGCAGGATGGTAGTGATCTCACACAGCTCTGACAGTGTGTGCACATCTATGTGTAGACATTCATCCACATTTGAACAGAGTAGACAGTGAAATCCTGTAAATACAGACTGATAAGAAAGAAACAAAATCAAACCTGCTTTAAAACCCAGCAACACAACTGTAGCTGTACAACTTTACAACAGCAACACTGCTTTAACAAAAAAGCAAAACAGCAAGACTTATTTTACATCAAAACAAAAATGTAAAAAGTGCTGTCTATTCGCTCTCGTGGTACTTGTGTTTTATTAGGAGACGCACAACAGTTCTTCTGGGACTGGTAATATTTTCACGTACACAATTGAGCAAAATCAGACAATATTGTGTCTAATATATACCACAATATTAACTTCTTATTATTGAATTGTTGTAAATAAATATCCCATTTGCAACTGGTCAGTGTTCAAAAGATGCTGAGAAATCACTTCATATAGCCCTACAAGAGTGATTACTGATAAACTGTCTGAAAAAAAAAGTGTCACATTAGGTTAGGTTAGGTTACTTTATTCATACCCGACCAGAGAAAAAGACAAAACTGATTCAATAAAAACACGATAAAAACATGATCATTAACGTTCGGTCAAATACTTTTAAAGCATAAATTTGATTTGAACAATAGGTCTACATAATATTTACATATGCAGTTCATAGGGGACGTATTCTATTAGCCCTACAGTTACAGCATGAAATAGCCTATTTAAACCTATAACATTTTACATAACATTCATCTATTTTATCTCACAATTCTGACGTTTAAATCTCCTAGTTTGGATTTTGGAGATTGAGGGAGTACAACATGTGCCACAGTATTTACTGTACATAGAATAATGGTTTTCTCATCTGAAGCTTTATTACTGTATGTTGAAGTAGTGTAAAAACTATGTAGATGAGCCTCTAGGCCAACTTCCCTCATGCTCATTCCAACCACACGAACATGATCAACTGTAGTGCTGTGTATTTCATCAGGAACAAAGGACCTTTGACCCCTCTTCCTATTCGTCTCACACCAGTAGAATTCATTTTACAAAGCACATAATCTCATGTGCTCCTGTTTATATTATCCGGAGATTCTGACCTGTACGACATGAGTTTTGCTATGTTTATGTGTCAGTATTTTCTGAATGAGAACACTGTTAACCCTGTGCAAAACGAAGGCATTTTTGTGTAGAGTTTGGCAGAAAACATTGAGAAAATTGGAATTTAAGAGAAAACAGGTGAAATATCTTTGTTTAGAGCACAGGTACAGTGTGTTAGCAATCGAGAAAAACTGTCACTGCTTTATTTCTCCTCATTGCAGAGAAACACTCGCTGTATTACATTTACACGGCTTTGTCCAAACCTGTCAATCAGCCGGGCATCTATCAGTTCAGTGCTATGGGTCTGCTAGATGACAGACAGATCGACTCTTACAATAGTGAGGAACAGAAGAAGATTCCCAAACAGCAGTGGATGAAAGAGAAAATGCAGGAGGATTACTGGGAAAAAGGCACCCAGTCCAGAAAGAGCAAAGAACAGTGGTTTAATGTGAATGTTGATATTCTGATGAAACGCATGAGACACAATGAATCAGGTGAGGAACATTCACACAGTTTAACCGGCATATACACATGATCAAACAATTTATATTTTCATCTCACAGACATTTTGTGTCCATTTCAGATCTTCATGTTCTTCAGTGGAGACACGGTTGTGAAGTTGAGCGGGAGGGAGATGAAGTGAAGTTTTCCAAAGGCATTAGTGAGTACGGCTATGATGGAGAAAACTTTCTGTTTTTTGATGATAAAGAGTCTCAGTGGGTCGCCCCAGTTGACGCAGCTGTACCAACCAAGAGAAAATGGGACAATGTGCCGATCCTAAACCAATACACCAAAGGCTACCTGGAGAAAGAGTGTGTGGACTGGCTCAACAAATTCAGAGAATATGCAGACGAGGAGCTCAGAAACGGCAGTGAGTAGATCAAATTGTATTTGTTTGATGATCTGCTGCAGATGCAACTGACTGATAGATTCCTGTGTTTTCAGCTCCTCCAGATGTTCATGTGTTTGCAAAAAGGTCTATTAGTGACAAATCCAAGCTGAAACTCACCTGTCTGGCCTCCGGCTTCTACCCCAAAGACATATTCTTGACCATCAGGAAAGATCTCACATCTCTGCCTGAAGATGAGGTAGAATCCACAGGAATCAGACCAAACCATGATGAATCCGTCCAGCTGAGGAAGAGTGTGAAGATCAACGAGGATGAAAAAGCAGAATATGATTGTTTTGTGTCCCACAGAACCCTCAAAGAACCAGTTATCGTCAAATGGGGTATGCAAACTAAAATCATTAACTAAATTATGATGTGAATCGTAATGCTTTTTCAGATATTATTCAGAATTCAAATATTATTAATGTGGTTTTCAGGACATCAGGTGAAAGCTACTGAATCATTGACTGCAGCTTATACTGAAGAACCTGTGCTTGAGAAAGGGTCTGCTGGTATGTTTCGTCTATTGCTTTGTTATTTACGAGGAACATTTCAGATTTGAGATTTGACGTTTCACTGTTTCTCCAGCAGGACGAGAGAATGCTGGCGAAGCACCAGACAGCAGTGCCACTGTGTTCATATTTTCTCTCTCTCTCATATTTCATTTTCTTTGAACTGTTGTCTCAATGCACTCAAGGACACCTTACAGCATAATCAGCTCATTTATTTTTTTATTATATATTATAATCAGTTTAAATTGCAGAGAGCAATCAAATGGCCTTATATATATATATATATATATATATATAGTTTTTTTTTCTTTTTTACAGGGATTCAATGACAGCTTAAACAGATAATAAATAGCTGATCTGACTAATTAATATTACATTTATTAACATGGTTTTAATTAGGGCATTCATCTTTATACGAACAAATGAGTATCATTTCTTTCCACTGTCAGAATCATGGAAGGTACAGACATTCAAGCTGAATTAATATTTGCTAATATTTAATTATCTGAATGATTGAATTACTAACTCTGTTTGTAAACATTTTGAGAACAGCAAATAAAACCATCATCTAACGAACCATATATTTGTGGAAGAAATGTTTATTGTGAATATATCATTGACAAACGTCCTTATGAACACTGAACTGTCCATCACTGTAAAAATAAACCTCTTTTTTGTGTTGCTTCACCACTTTCTGCCCAGACGCAGATCAAATTTCAATGATGGCAGTATCGTATTATTTTCTTATTGGTTAAAACATCTGCTATTTTCTGCAGCTCGAATTCTGCTGTTTTGGGTTAGGCTAAACGATATAAAAAAACAGTCAAAAAAATTCACGCATAAAGAGGTTTCAGTATGCGAACAAGAGTCCCAACGAAGATCTTTGCTCTGCTGTGTGTTTTTCTTCTTTATGGGACTTTGCCTTCACTGCGAGCAGGTAAACGATTAAAAGTTTCTGCGTTTATCAGAGAATGAAAGTGAAAGTAACGAGTAGGCGTCGTGATTTGAAACGTCTTTGTAACGACAGAAATGAAATGTGATGAGAAATGCATGCTAACATCGTATAGGCCTATACAATATAAAAGTAATACGAGTTGTCAACTAAAAATCTATACATATCAACTAATAACTTTCGATCAACACAGCAGTGGCCATTTGCCAACACCGTTATGTGATTGATCAGCATTAGAGGTTTACAGATTAAACAGGACTGTTTTAGGGGCATCAAATTAATTTAACAAAGACTAAGATCCTATAGGATAAGCAGAAATATGTGTTTTTAAGTAATATTGCTCGGTTCAGATATGGAATGTTGACTAGGCTACAATGTCTCTCAGAGAATTACAGATGTATGAATTATGATAATAGACTGTTTACCTGCTTTCTCGTTCACTTTAATCACAAACCAGTGAATAGTTGTTTAATTCACATTTTATTTCTCCTCATTGCAGAGAAACACTCGCTGTATTACATTTACACGGCTTTGTCCAAACCTGTCAATCAGCCGGGCATCTATCAGTTCAGTGCTATGGGTCTGCTAGATGACAGACAGATCGACTCTTACAATAGTGAGGAACAGACGAAGATTCCCAAACAGCAGTGGATGAAAGAGAAAATGCAGGAGGATTACTGGGAAAAAGGCACCCAGTCCAGAAAGAGCAAAGAACAGTGGTTTAATGTGAATGTTGATATTCTGATGAAACGCATGAGACACAATGAATCAGGTGAGGAACATTCACACAGTTTAACCGGCATATACACATGATCAAACAATTTATATTTTCATCTCACAGACATTTTGTGTCCATTTCAGATCTTCATGTTCTTCAGTGGAGACACGGTTGTGAAGTTGAGCGGGAGGGAGATGAAGTGAAGTTTTCCAAAGGCATTAGTGAGTACGGCTATGATGGAGAAAACTTTCTGTTTTTTGATGATAAAGAGTCTCAGTGGGTCGCCCCAGTTGACGCAGCTGTACCAACCAAGAGAAAATGGGACAATGTGCCAATCCTAAACCAATACACTAAAGGCTACTTGGAGAAAGAGTGTGTGGACTGGCTCAACAAATTCAGAGAATATGGAAATGAGGAGCTCAGAAAAGCCTGTGAGTAAATGTACAGTATTAGTATTTGTCGTTTATCTGATTGATAAACAAACTCCTGTGTTTTCAGTTCCTCCAGATGTTCACATGTTTGCAAGGAAATCCAGTGATGAATCCAAGATGAAACTCACCTGTCTGGCCACCGGTTTCTACGCCAAAGACGTGACGATGACCATTAGGAAACATTGCACATCTCTGCCTGAAGATGAGGTTGAATCCACAGGAATCAGACCAAACCATGATGGGACCTTCCAGCTGAGGAAGAGTGTGGAGATCAATGAGGACGGAAAAGCAGAATATGATTGTTTTGTGTCCCACAGAAACTTCAAATCAATTATCATAAAAGTGGGTAGGTAAACTGAAAGCATTAATTCAGTCATTAGTGCACAAGCATCGTAATGACTTACTCTGATATCATTCAGAATATTCAGATAGTTTTCCATCTTTACTCATCTGTATGAAATATCATGTAACCTGACACATTGAGATTAAATATTATGTCTGAGAATAGTACTACGCTTGATATTATTGTGGTTTTCCAGGACAAGCTACTGAATCATTGAACGCTGAAGCATCTGCTGGTATGTTATTTGTTTTTGCCAATTTCAAGTAGATTCAAACCAAATCAATGTGACATTTCACTGTTTCTCCACCAGGACGAGAGAGAGCTGGAGAAACATCAGATAGCTGTGTGACTGGCTCTCCGGAGAAAGTCATTCAAACTGGTAACTCCATTTTAAATGGAATATCAGTGTGTTTCTGTTTCTACTGTCGAAAGCGAAACTACTTTGTTTGGCCTTCCAAAAGAGGACGATATCTGCTTCGTCATGCCTGGAGCTGATCCGTGCTGGTCGCTGAGGAAATACATCAACTTAGTGCTGTGGATCGCCGGATCGGCTTTCACCGTGGACGAAGCCCAGGGTCGTCACATGTGGTTGCCGCTCCTTCGTCGAATCCTCCGGGCGCGCCGTTCTCGACCCCGCCGCCTTTGCTCACTGTATCCCGGCCTCAGCTCACGCTAAGGCGCTGTGTGTTTCGTTGTGAAAGCGAAACTACTTTGTTTGGTCTTCCAAAAGAGGACACGACTAGAAATCAGTGGTTAAGTTGTATTTACAACACTGTTCCAGAACAGTTCAACCCAAATATTCAGATGTGTGCAGCACATTTTATGGAGGACTGTTTACTGATCCTGGGAGAGTAGACTACAATGCCGGCTGTTCTGACTCACAGCCTGTAAGTACGTTTTCATTGAAAGGATTTGCCACTGACGATTCAAACGTGAGTTTTGAGCAGTGTAGAGTAGCGCTTGTTGTTTGTAATTTCTCCGATCACAAATGCAGACATGGTTTTATGTTTACGTGGCGCGATGCAACGCAATGCGTAAAAAGACAGTATAAGTCATTATAATCCGTAATTATGTCCCCACTGGATGCAACAAATACCTAGTTTATAATGGGTTTTAATGTTTTTGTCTCGTCGCTCCGGCTAGGTCACGGCATCACAATATGCCGGATAACTCCCTGGATAACTAAGACTGGGGATAACTCCCTCTTGCTTCGATCCCTCTTTGCCCCGTTTGTAGTGCTGCTTTTAGTCATTTAAAACCCATTTCTGGCACTCATCTTCAAGAAATAGTGGATCAGCTTAAGCCTTCGGGCTCTTCTATTGATATAATTCCTCCATATTTTCTTATACAAGTTTATGATGTAGTTGGTCCACAGCTCTTGATTATGATAAATCGCTGTTTAGAAACCGGTATTGTACCTGACTTATTAAAACATGCAACAGTCCACCCCCTGCTTAAAAAACAGAACTTAGACCCCACAGTGTTAGCCAACTTTAGACCTATCTCAAATTTGTCATTTATCGCTAAGATTTTGGAGAAAATTGTCCTACAGCAATTGCAGGGTTTTCTAGATGACAACATGATTTTTTTTAATATTTCAATCCGGTTTTAAAAGACATCACTCTACTGAGAGTGCATTGTTGAAAGTTTTAAATTATATTTTAGTAACCTGCGATTCTGGCAACTATGCTGTGCTTGTGCTCCTAGATTTGACCGCTGCATTTGATACGGTCGATCACGAAGTTCTTATTGCTCGGTTGGACCAATGCGCAGGCATTAAGAGCAGTGCCTTAAATTGGTTTAAATCTTATTTTTCTAATCAAAGTTTTTCAGTTAATATTGGAGATAATTTTTCTAGCGCTGCTTCTTTATCATGTGGGGTTCCTCAGGGATCCATTTTGGCTCCCATTCTTTTTTTAATATACATGCTCCCACTTGGTTCTATCTTCAGGAAGTATGGGCTGTCATTCCATTGTTATGCTGACGACACCCAAGTTTATCTGCCCTTAAAACGTAATTCAGCCAGTTTGGACACTCTCATGGCTTGCTTGTCAGATGTAAAGTCCTGGTTGTCTCTAAACTTTCTGAATTTTAATGAGAGTAAAACAGACATTATAGTATTTGGTCTTTCAGATTCAATTCATAATCCCAAAGCAAATCTTGGTGGGCTGATCGGATAAGCAGAAATATGTGTTTTTAAGTAATATTGCGTCGGTTCAGATATGGAATGTTGACTAGGCTACAATGTCTCTCAGAGAATTACAGATGTATGAATTATGATAATAGACTGTTTACCTGCTTTCTCATTCACTTTAATCACAAACCAGTGAATAGTTGTTTAATTCACATTTTATTTCTCCTCATTGCAGAGAAACACTCGCTGTATTACATTTACACGGCTTTGTCCAAACCTGTCAATCAGCCGGGCATCTATCAGTTCAGTGCTATGGGTCTGCTAGATGACAGACAGATCGACTCTTACAATAGTGAGGAACAGAGGAAGATTCCCAAACAGCAGTGGATGAAAGAGAAAATGCAGGAGGATTACTGGGAAAAAGGCACCCAGTCCAGAAAGAGCAAAGAACAGTGGTTTAATGTGAATGTTGATATTCTGATGAAACGCATGAGACACAATGAATCAGGTGAGGAACATTCAATATGCAGTTTAAACTGCATATGTTTAATCTATCCTTTAGGCAAGTTCCTTTATCTTGGAAGTGTCTTCGGTGATCCCAATTTATTCATCTGGTGTACATCTGATATAAATTGAATTTGAGCAATTACAGGCCTATTAGTATTGTGCCAATAATATCTAAGTTTGTAGAAATTAAGGTTATAATTTCTAAGGTTGTACAAAAAGGGTAGCTAAGCCTCTAACTAAACATCTAAATAATGGATATAATTCTTTGCATCCAATTCAGTTTGGATTTCATACTAATTCAACAGAATTAGCCAATTGTCTACAGTTGAAAAAGTTATATACTTACTGGATAAGAGTACCTGTGCTGGAGCTGTCTTTATAGATCTAAAGAAGGCATTTGACACTGTGTTGACAATGAAATATTCAGATGTATCTGGATGATGTGCAAACTTTTACCAATGCAGATAGCTTTGAACAAGTTTCCTTAACTTTGACCTCAGCAATGACTAATATTCAGGATTGGCTTACCAAGCCAGATTTGCTATTGAATACTAAGAATACTGTGTGTTACAAAGTAATTAGTAGATGAGGTGAGGAGCATTAAACCGTTGTCTAATATTGTTAAATTTAATCTACAAAATTCTACAGTTTGGCCAGTTTTGACAGCTGGTGCTGCTAGGTCGTTTTTATGTTCAGTGTTTTTTTTTTGCATATTGAGAATAGTTTTACTAGTTGGTCCTTTGCAGGTGGTACAACTCTTAAGTTAATAGAATCATTATATAAAAAATATATAAAAGTTTTTGGGGAAACCCCTCCCCCCTCATTGAACACACACACAATTTGCTTGCTTCATTTATAAAGTTTTGCACAGGCTTATCCCACCTCTGGTATTTGTTTGTCTTTTATGTAGAGTTTTATGTGTTGTTTGAGTAGGTGTCATTTTGCTCTCTGTCCAGATCTTCATGTTCTTCAGTGGAGACACGGTTGTGAAGTTGAGCGGGAGGGAGTTGAAGTGAAGTTTTCCAAAGGCATTAGTGAGTACGGCTATGATGGAGAAAACCTTCTGTCTTTTGATATTGAAGAGTCTCAGTGGGTTGCCTCAGTTGACGCAGCTGTACCAACCAAGAGAAAATGGGACAATGTGCCGATCCTAAACCAATACACCAGAGGCTACCTGGAGAAAGAGTGTGTGGACTGGCTCAACAAATTCAGAGAATATGGAAACGAGCATCTCAGAAACACCTGTGAGTAAATGTGTTTGTAGTTGTTTTATGTTCTGCAGTTGTTGAAGATGAAACGGATTGATAAACTGATTCCTGTGTTTTCAGCTCCTCCAGATGTTCATGTGTTTGCAAAAAGGTCTATCAGAGACAAAACCAAGCTGAAACTCACCTGTCTGGTCAGTGGCTTCTACCCCAAAGACATGACACTGGTTATGAGGAAATATTGCACATCTCTGCCTGAAGATGAGATTGAATCCACAGGAATCAGACCAAACCATGATGAAACCTTCCAGCTGAGGAAGAGTGTGGAGATCAATGAAAATGAAAAATCAGAATATGATTGTTTTGTGTCCCACAGAACCTTCAAAGAACCAGTTATCACCCAATGGGGTAATTAAAACAGTATAGAGAAATAAATATCACTTGATATTGGACTGAAAAAGTTTTTGCTTGTGATATCCTCATTTATTTCTATCTTTTTGCATTTGTATAGATGCTGTGACGGCATGATTGGGGTTATGGCTGTTTCACACTGGAAGTGTATGTGAGTGGAAGCAGTGGAAATTGGATTAGCATGCTTTTTAAGCTCTACTTTCAATCATTTTATCATGCTTTTAAGTTGTTTGTTTGTTAGTTTGTTTTACACAAGCTACATTTACATGCACCGAAATAATCAATAATCATAAATAATAATGTTACTCATGTAGCTCCGGCTGACATTAATGCGGTGGCTTTCTGAATAGATGCACTGTGCATGCATTACTTTTTGATCGGAATATATTGCATGTAAAATATTTATGTGAAATTGATTGCAAAGCTTAAGGCTCATATAAGCAGAATTTTCAGAATCTGAATCGGGATTGTATTTATTCGGATTGTCAAAGATTAGTGCATGTAAATATACTGACAGTGTTAGTCATGCTCATTTTTAATATCATTCCATGTTAATTTTGATCACAAAAAAAATCACCGTTACTTTAAAAGGATCATGAACTGCATTTTTTAATCATAAATTGTTCACTTATAACGTAAGATTTTTACATTAAACATAATTTAGAAATAAATGGCCATTTTCTACCCTGTTTTTGACCCTCTGGTTTCAACACTGTTTTTAGGGGCAATCCTGTAAGACCGTTTTCCACAGAGCAGTTTCAGTATTGAACTGTTGGTCATACTGAATTCTGTTCTAACAGCAATACACCACTCTAGGCTGTTCACGATAGGTTTCACTGACTGCCGAAAACTCAATATATTGCTTGCTTCACCACTTCTGCATCTTGACATCATCACACTGTTTTCTTATTGGTTGAAACAACATAGGCCTTTTTCACGCTTCAGGGTTTCCGAATATGGAAGAACTTCCAGTGTGAACAACAATGGCTGAATCAACGTAGAGGTGACAATGTAGCATCCCTCATTACTCTAATAATAAGCAACGGCAACCGTATTTGAGTTTTCATGCATTTCCAAGCAATGAACATGAAAGAAAGAAGTGGGTGCATGCTATTCAACATGTAAAAGGTCTGGCTTTTATGGTCCTCAGATGTAGCACATTTGTTTGTATTCTGTGAACTACTCCTAAACCCAATCCTAAACCCACCCTCACTACAGAGCCTACTAGGGTCACAGAATTTGGTGCAACACCAGCACTTTTTGCTGACTCTGATTACAGTGCTGGCACCACTCGTAAGCATCTCAGAAAAGGGACTCTTTCGTCCTGATTTATTTAGAACTGGAGAGAAACTTCGCGAGAGTCCGTTTACGAACCGGTTAGAGCTCATTACGGATTTAACACCTGTCCTGTCCTTTCCTCCGATGACATTCAAGATGACAACATCATTCCTGAGGTAACATCTGGAGCAGGCCAAGACTATGCAGTCACTCCTCTTCCAGGTATGTTTATGCATTACAACAACAACAACAACAACATTAAGTATGAAGCACATTTCCCCATAAGCTTTATTGCATATATTAATATAAAAATATTATGATTATTTTTTACTTCATTTAAGTCCTTCATTTTAATCCATTTAGACACAAATTATTATTATTTATAAATATACATATTTTATACATATGCTATGTTTTGATGGTAAAGTAATTTCAGGTTGTATCACTGAACAGTGAATTTGGACTAATTATCTCTGACTCATCCTTGGATCTTTGCCCATATGGATGAGCGGACAGCAAGTAAATTCCACCATGCCTGAGAAGTTTAGGCAGTTTTGTCCAGAGGTTAGAGTCATCACTGACTGCATAGAAATAAGGTGCCAGAATCCATCTTTACTCACACTCCAGTCATATAAAAATGCCATACCTTCAAGGAGCTGATTGGTATTGCTCCATGTGGAGCAGTTACCTTTGTGTCCAGCTTGTACACAGGTTCCATCTCTGATCAAGTGCCATAGCTCGTCTTCCAATTCTTGTTGAGAGAGCCATCAGAAGAGTGAAGGCGTTTCATATCTGGGATACCACAGTACCTTTGACCTTGTCTGAACCAACTGTGGACTAACTGTTGCTTGAAGAGCAACTTTCAGTGGCCACTTGATGTTAAAAGTCACAAAGTGGTATCATAGCCATTAAATATGAATGAGTAATATAATGTATTAGAATATTCTGTAATATAATGTATTAGATCTATATATGTTGTATTTCTGGTATTCTATATTTTTATTTTGTGCAGTTTAATATGTAAATAGTAAAAACACAGTGTAATAGAATCCTTGGATGCTCTCCCGAGCGCAAACACAAATATGCATTGGAGCTTTGCCTGATCTGTCTCGCCAATATCCTACTTTTGCAGCCTCAACTGAGGGTGCTCTTGCTTTCATTTGAGGGTGCTTAGCACCCTATAGCACGCTAGTAGAACAAGAACTGCCCCCCTCCGGGTGAATGGACATGCACATGTTTACAGAAGTGTTGACACGGAAAAAAAGCAGCATGTATGTGAAACAATGATGGTGAAAAGCGTGCATGAGGCTTTGCACACACTTGCTGTGTGTGATGAGATTCACAATGAGATCACTTTGGATTTCAGTCACACAAATGATGCATTTACTGATGCATTTTCATGTCAGCGCATTATTAAAAACAAATGAGATATATAAGAATAAGAGGCATATTCACCAGAGTCAAAGTCATCACGTCCTGCTATTGTCATAATAGCTGTAACATACAGTGCCCGGTTGCATGAAAGCCCTTAAGCTAAGAAATCCCTTAGTTATAAGGTTAAGGGTGCCCTTAGTGAAACTTGGGTTGCAAGAAAAAACCTAAGGTCAACTTAAGGAACCTTAAGCCTGACATGAATTATTCTCCCTTAAGCGTTGTTACAAGTTCCTTAGTAACCATTTCACCTTAATAAATTTAAGGGGCCAAAACAGCTCCCTTAAGTAATTTTAAAGGTCCCCTGAAGTGCCTTGAAACACGCAGCGTTATTCTATGTGGTGACGTAATTTCACCTGAAATAGGAAGACAGGGCGGGACATATCGAGCAGCCCCGCCCCCTTTTTAAATTAGCCAATAGCGTTTTTTTTATATCTGCACGGGTCACTCAGAGCCGTTGAGCTCGGTAAAGCCACATTTGACAGCCACAGTCTAATAGATTACCCCCTAGATTCAATATGAAACTCTTAGTAAAACAAAATGGTGATCATAATAATGCTGAGGCTGTGTAGTTTTAAAAGTGTTTAATATATGCCGACTCGCGCATATGATCCGCTCTGTGCGATCGCGTCTCTGGTCCGGGGCCAAAGTCAGACTGAGCGCTGCGGCAGTTCGCGTGACACATCGTGAAACCAGACCTCATTTGCCCCAATCGAAAGCATATTTACACTGTCTGAATTGTTCCCTATCGCCTACATTGTGCACTACGTGCCATTCACTGTACAGGAAATGCTACACTGTGAACAAATGACCGATCTCAGCCGCAGCTTCAGCATCTATAGTGTAGGAGGCGGTCGCTTCGGCTTCTAGAGAGCGTTTGATTGGTCAGAAGATTTGATGAGAAGATGAAATACGATGTGACGTCAAAAAAATCATCGAGCCGTTTTGGCGGAAATGACGAACTAAAAGCTTTGAATGCTTATATCTTCTAAATGCTAATTTTGTCTCTGTTTTGGAGCACACTGCCTTATAGATAACCTTAAGATTAACATATTGATACTAACACCCAAAAAACTTAAATTTTGATTTCATGGGGACTTTAAACTCAAACGCAATGGCTGATTTTATGTTAACTGAGAGAAGGAAGTAGCCTACCAAGACAAGGTTTGGTTTACGTTTTTTGTTTTCTTTGATCTTGGTATTCTCCATAACGCAAATATATTAGTACAACTGTGGTTGTATCTAAAGTGAGGTTTGTGGTTTATGTTCTGTTTATTGTTAGATGTAGTAACTATATTACTACATTGCCGTATGTTGCCAGAAACTACCGTGAAACACTTGGTAAGGGTGAGAGTTAAGACGTTTGTTGCGATGCTCTTAAAGAAATCCCTTGCCTCAGGGATTTTTTCCCCATCAGGGATAGCCATAGGTCAAATTACTTAAGGGCTTTCATGCAACCGGATTTTGAACTGTGATACTGATGCAGTGAAATGATCAATCTTTACTCTATTACAGCAGTATCTGGACATTTAGTGTCTATGATACTTTTGAGTCCAGATTTGGTTTTAACTAAATGTCAGTAATGTGAAAAACTGACATTTAATGAACAAACTGTCTTTACATCAAACTGCCTAGACTGTGATGTAAAAGCACCATTAGTTAAAACACTCATGCAGTGTAGGTCAAGATGACTGAATTAAACACATGTACCGTAATATTTGCTGCTCATGGAGCTGGCGAGACTATGACATGTACTCACCATACATACACAACATGTGTTTGTGTGAGAGAAACAAGTGACCCGTTCTGACAGGAGTTTTAAGTTTAGTTACAAAAATCACTGTTTCATCTCCAACTGCAGCTTAAACTCTGCTCAGCCGTAAAACCACTTCCTGTTCGCGCTTCACGAGCCATTTCCCATCACGAGCGCTGTATGTGCTTATATACAGACGTGTCCGGCCCGTGGGAAATTAATTGTTAAATAAATCAATTATTTAATTATTCACAAAGCTTCTTTCAGCTCCTGTTCGAAGAAATGAAATAAGAAACAGTTCCAGTAGAGACATCGCAGTTCGAGGAGTGTGTGTGGGCACTGAACTCTCTGTGGGTTTGAGTGTGTGTGAGAAAGACAAAGTTTATTGTCACTTTTAGCCTGTGTGGTGGGAGATGAGATGAGACAATGTGTCTGCAGAAACCGCAGTGAACGTTTAAAGGGGTCATATGATGCTGCTAAAGAGAACATTATTTGGTGTATTTGGTGTAATGAAATGTGGTTATGCAGTTTAAGGTTAAAAAAACATTATTTTCCACATACTGTACATTATTGTTTCTCATCTATGCCCCGCCTTTCTGAAACGCGTATATTTTTACAAAGCTCATCGGTCTGGAAAGCAAGGTGTGCTAAGATTGGCCAGCTATCCAGTGCATTGTGATTGGCTGAATACCTCAAGCGTGTGACGGAAATGCTACGCCCCTCACCATACTGTGATGATGCCCTGTCCGGCCGGAGCGACGAGACAAAAACATTAAAACCCATTTTTTTTTAAACGAGGCATTCGTTGCATCCAGTGGCGACATAATTACTGATTATAATGACTTATACTGTCTTTTTACGCGTTGCGTTGCATCGCGCCGTGTAAATATAAAACCCTGTCTGCATTTGTGATCGGAGAAATGACAAACAACAAGTGTTACTCTACACTGC